CACTTATTTATTGGGCAGTTGTTTCTTTGAAGATTTGTTGTTGGGGGATTTAATTTTTTGAGTTCCAAGTATATTTTAGATATAAGACCCTTGTCCGTTGTATGGCTAGTGAAGATCTCCCAATCCGTAGGCTTTCTATTGATCCTGCTAGCTATGTCCTTTGCCATGCAGAAGCTCTGCAACTTCATGCAATCCCATTTGTCCAACCTTTCTTTGATTTGTTGTGGGTCTCTATTAAGAAAATTTCGGCCAGTGCCAAGGAGACCTAGGGTTTCTCCTATTCCATCCTGTAATGTTTTCATTTGATTACTTCTTTAATCTTGTTGTGTGTTATGAGTCTGTTTAATTTATATCTTCTTGGTTCAACTTAGGCAGTTTGTATATCTCTGGAAATCTGTTCATTTTCTATTAAGTTTTCCTTCTTTTTTTTTTTTGAGTACAGATTTTAGAAGTAGTCCTTCCTTTTGGAAGTAGTTTGGATTTCTTGGATGTTTGTTTTAATGTTTCCTGTGGCATCTGTGATTTTATTGATTTGAATCTGGTCTCTTCTTAATTTTACTAGTGGTTTATCAATTTCATTGATTTTTTTTTCCCAAAGAACTAGTTTTTTTTTTTTTTTGGGGTCCGGTCGTGGGGCCTGAACTGGGCTTGGGCACTGTCCCTCAGCTCTTCAGCTCAAGGCTAGCACTCTACCACTTGAACCACAGCGCCACTTCCGGCTTTTTTTCTGCTTATGTGGTGCTGAGGAATCAAACCCAGGGCCTCAGGCATGCAAGGCAAGCGCTCTACCACTGAGCCACCTTCCCAGTCCCTAGAACCAGCTTTTTGTATAGTTTTTAAGTATCTCAGTAATTTCTGCCATAATCTTTGCTCTCTCTCTCTCTCCTTTTAGAAGCTTTGGGTTTGGTCTGGTAGATTCGCTGGATGGCTCTCTGTCTGACTCTGCATTTGGCAACTTTCAGCTATGGGTAGTACAGATAGTGTGATGTGTCCTGGTCAGTTGTGAGGGTTATTGCTGTGTGCAGGATGGTCTGATGTCCTGTCCTCGGTTTTTACCCAATGGTGGATCCCCATTATGTGCTAGGTAGAAGTTTAGTATCCTGGCCTGGATGTGTGTCTGGAGTAGGTGGATTCTGCTAGTCATAGTAGGGGGTTTGTTCTAGTCTAAGTCCTGTACTGGTGTCTGTGTCCAAAAGGGCTGGGAGCAGTGTTCTAGCACCCAGACCTTGTATGAGCCCTAGGGAGAAGGGCAGATCCTGTTATGCATTAAGGGGTGGTTGTCTTAGCACAAGTTGTGAGCTGGAGCAGGCCTGCGCCTTGGAGGGGGTGGCTCCCACAGGGCCAGGGGCTGTGTTCAGGTCTCTAGGACAGGTGATAGTCTTGGGAAGGCGGGTTCCTGTGGAAGAAATCATCCCCACTCCAGTCTTGGTTCTTGTTTTCTTGGGGGTGAAGTGTACGTTAGGATCCTAAATCTCTGATCAGAGAGAGCTAGAGTGATTCCCTATTGCTTCACCATCATCTTCTTAGCTTCCTACTTCTCTGGGTTAAAATTTTAAAACACTGAGTGGTATTGCAAACCTCTTTGCTTCATTTACCTTGCTTCTTTTGGGTAAAAAAGACCCTTTTTTCATGAAAGTATTTATTTCCATCATGGGCTGGGGATTTCGCTTAGTAGCAGATCACAAGTCTAATTTCATTACCCTCTCTCCCCTACAAAAGGGTTTTTTATGTTTTCATTTTTGATCATCAGTTTTCAAAAGAAAGAAGCTATTTTGTAGCATTTTCGCCATTAAGGTTGACTCTTTAACGTATTTATTAGGGCATAGTAATTGTAGAAAATAACTTCATTGTGATATTTTCATACATGCAAAAGTTGATATACACAAAATATATTTACTGTATTGTCTCCTCTAGCATTGTATTAATTGTTTAAAATGTATGAAACTGTCAAGAACTCATTCAATTTAAAAAGATATTTCAGATATTCATAGAAGGATCTATTTTTAGTAGTACATCCTTCCTATCATTTTAATATTATACATGAAAGTCACATCAATCTTGCAGTCTGAATGTGTTTGAAGCCAAGAGTTGATTCACACCTACATATCTTCCTTCAGCTTTTCTCTACTGTTAAAACCCACTGAGTGCTTAAGTCTATACCTATAGATCAAGTAAGTACAAAAATGACAATAACACTTACAGTTAGAGGAACAGGGTCTTGGAAAGCCAGGCTCATTTCATGGCAGTAAAGAAACAAAAGTAGGCGTTCACACTTCTAAGCAAAAATAAATAACATCAATGAAATTACAGCTATTTTCAGTAAGAATTTTACAGATCTCAAAGTGACAGAGTAAGAATTAAAGCCAGATTAATATAGGAGAAATACTGAATCTTAGTGTTTTAGGTTCCTTCCCAGTTATGAACTATAGTGCTTGATGATTTAGTATGTATATGACATTTGAGAGTATATGACATTTGAGAGTCCTTTGGTCTTGGCAATGAATAATGCTCACTCTAGTTTGTGTGTGCTGAATAATGGTTAATACAGGAAGAATAGAGGTTTTAATGAAGAAATCCAGAAATGGGACAATTTCCTTGTGGTGTCTGGTCCTAGGTCTCCACTCTGCAAGCTCCTTCCTATTCTGCTTCTGGGCTCTTTTTTCCCAGTCAACACTGTGGTGTTGTATCGGCCGTGTTTGTGCCTCCTGCTGTATGACAATTCTAACACCATGCTCTTTATAATTTAGCAGAGGGGCTGCAAAGTGTTATGTTATATATTGAGTTGTTACAGATTACCTAGCTTTGATGAATAATCTGGAATGGAAACAATAAGAGCCTATCTCATTATCAATTCTCAACAGATTCTGAGGAAGAAAAACTTATGTAAGAAATGAAACAAAATTAGCCCAAGGTAGACTAAATTTAAATACCCAGGTTCTATAAGGATACAGTCTGTCCTACTCAGGTTTAGTATTTTAAACATTTATAAAATATATATGGTACCGAGCTTTTTAAATTAAAAAAAGTTTGTCTTTAATCATTTGAGATTTTTATTCTTTTATTAAAAAACTCCTAAATCAATATAAAATGAATGCATCTAAGATAAGCACTGTGTGACACGCTAGGATGAAAATGCTCTTTTGTCTTACCCTTTTGTCTATTGGTGTTAACTTCACGAGGCTTTCGGATTTCCTTTTTTCTGAGTTGTGATTAGGAGCATCACAATCATATTCAACTTCGGGTTTTGACAAGTCTCGGCAGAAAGTACAAATCCACTCTCCACTGTTGGAATAATACAACTTTGAGTTTCTTTTCTTCGCATTGGCTTGTCTTTGAACTCAAGACCCTCCTGCTTCAGATCCACCAGGGCTGTGATCAGATTATTCACCACACCTGGCTCTGCGTTTAAAGTTTCTAAAGCACGTCTCTCTTTCACAGCTTCTTTCTCTACCTCCCCCAAGCCATCTCTACTTTACAGAACATGAATTTTAACCACAAGAGTATTTATCACATACCTAGTAGATACATAGCATCTGGCTCAGAGAGGAAATAGCAGAAACTTCATGTATGTTAATAGTGATTAAGGAGGCAAAAAATATATCTATGTGAGATATATCTATGTGGGGCATATTTTCCCCTGAAGGCTTCAAGAAAAAGACAGCTCTCAGTAATACTATCAGAACTGTAAGTTTGAAATTAATTTTAAGAATTAAATTGAAATTAAATGTAAGGAATCAGAGCCTTAAAAGAACTGGGAAATTAATCCAATAGCTCTTAATCATCACCATCATCATCATCATTAAAAAAGGCTTAAGAATGTATTGAGACATTTGTAAATGATAAAGCCCAGTGCATTCACTGGGCTGGGCATTGACTTGGCATTGATGGTGGCTTATTACTGTAATCGTAGCTACTCAGGAGGCTGAGATCTGAGTACTGTAGTTTAATGTCAACCTGGGCAGGCAAATTCAATTAACCAGCAAAAAGCCAGAATTGGAGGTGCAGCTTAAGTTTTTGCTTGAGCAGAAAAGCTGACCAAATGTTCAAGACTCCTCATGTTCAAAAGGCCAGTATCAGTACACCCACACAAAATGTCTTTGCTAGGGTAGAAAATATGCCCAAAGCATCATTGATCTTCATGGTAACTCCTATGTTAACATTATTTATGAATGATGAAACAGTTTCACTGTGAAGTGCATGCTGGCATTAAACCTTCTTGATGGATGAATTTAACCAAAAAGTGCAAGAAATAGTACAATATGAGCCACCATGCTGGGTGGGTTTTCAATTTGTTTTTTCTTCTGTCAGTAGCAGGGCCTGAACTCTGGGCCTGGGCTCTGTCCCTCAGCTCTTCAGCTCCAGGCTAGAACTCTACCACTGGAGCCACAGTGCCACTTCTGGCTTTTTCTGCTTATGTGGTGCTGAGGGCCTCATGCATACAAGGCAAGCACTCCACCACTGAGCCATCTTCCCAGCTCTGGTTTTCAATTTTTTAAACGCCTTTAGTTCCCTAGTGCTGGGATTATAGGTGTGCACAGCCATGCTCAGGGCTGATATATTTTTGTGCTACTACTGGCATTTGAACTCAGGGCCTACGTGCAATCCCTTAGCTTTTTTGCTCAAGACTGGTGCAAGTCTGGCATACCTAGCTTTTTACTTTTAACTGTCATAGCTGATTAGTTTTTTTTTTCCTTCGTGAAGAACAAGGAGGTAGGGTATAGAAAATTATATTATTGTTAGAAACTTTATATGTATTTGTGCCAAGTCAAAATTAAATCTCTACAAAGATTTTATGTAATGTTGATCATCACATTATGTAAAAATGATCATCACATGTATTGCTGTTACTTAAGACTATTTTCGGCAGCACTGAGGATGGGCAGCACTGAGGATGGAATACCAGCCCATGTATATTCTAGCCAGGCACTCTACAACAGAGCCACACCCCAGCTATTAGTATTTAGTGAAAGAGTGTGGGAAGGGAAGCACTGTCTTACCTTGGAAAATTCGCCAAGGTGGGCACATGGCAGGAGAGATGGAAGACTTTGGGACACTTCTCACAGCATAGGAGTTCTCCTCCATTTTGACAAACTGCACACCAGTCCTCATTGGGGTCATCCTCCTTCCTTGTCTCAGCAATATGAAGGGGTGACTTCTGGGAGGTGTTCAGCCACTCGGCCTTTCCATTGGAGGAATTTTCCTGGAGCCCAGGTTGATCACCTGTGCTATCAGGGGCATCAGATCTTAGCACAGTTTCCTCAGAAGCAGAACCTTGACTACTATTTAGAAGCAGGGAAGTGAGTATGCTTCTGGGATAGTTGGTCTGCAATGAGAGAGAAGAATGTGTATGTTCAGGAAGGGCCCTTTCATTCACAGCTGGACTCTGACCACAATCCTCCTATCTACAGCTTCCCACATAGATTGGATCACAAGTATTTATTAGCAGCATGAAGGAGGTATCACTAACATTTTGCCTTGAACTCTGATCTTCCCATCCAATGTCTACCTCCTGAGTAGCTGGGATTAAGAGGTATGAGCCACCATGCTGGGTGAACTTTCAATCTTAAATGTCTATATGTGTAATTTTCTTACTATGGGAGACTGTGGAATTAGGATTTGACCTTCTGACTCTCCAAACCATCTTTCCTTACACCACCATGGGGCCTGAACTCTGGGCCTGGGCGCTGTCCTTCAGCTCTTCAGCTCAAGGTTAGCACTCTACCACTTGAGCCACAGCCCACTTCTGTTTTTTCTGCTTATGTGGTGCTGAGGAATGGAACCCAGGGCCTTATGCATGCAAGGCAATCAATCTACCACTGAGCCACCTTCCCAGCCCTTGTGTTCGTTTTTAAATCTTTGGTTTATAGGGAAGTCATTCTAGTTTACTTCCTACGATAGTTTTTTTTTTTTTTGGAAAACTATGTAAATAGACTATGTAAATAGTTTACTACAGAATTATAAAATACATTGTGACTACACTTCCTTTGTAGAATAACTGAGTCAGTTATCACTTAGGTACTTATCTCAATGACACTCTCCACATGATAATATGATGCTTTTTTGTGTGTGCTGTATATGTAATGGGCCTTAACCTCAGGGTCTAGTGCTCTCACTTTGCGTTTTTACTAAAGGCTGGCCCTCTAGCACTTAAGACACACCTCCACTTCCAGTTTTTTGCTAGTTAATTGGTGACAAGAGTCTCTCTGATTTGTCTGCCTGGGCCGATTTTGAATCTTGATCCTTAAACCTTAGCCTTCTGAGTATCTAAGATTACAGATGTGAGCCACTTATGTGTGGTTATATGATAGTTTTAAATATTGTACAAACACTCATCTCCCTTGTGGAATTTTCTGTCCTCCTGTTCTTGTACTAGGAGCTGTTACAACAGGGAATACTCTTGTTTTTCCACCTTAGAAAAGTATTACAAGCCACAATGTAATTACATTTTGAGGCCTAGATTCTTCATCTGATTCTTGTTTCACTATAACAACAGGGAAATCATAATTTTCGGGTGGTCCACTGTTTTCTTGTTTGATTCGGATTGGCTCCAACATGACCACGGGGACTTTGTGAGTAGAATCTGCTCCTGCTGGTTTGCTGGAAGAGCCAGAGCTATAAGCATAAAAGAGAGAGAGAGAGATTGAGCAGGACACCATGAAAAATCCAAAAATGTTACATTATGAACCTCACATGAAGTACAATAACAGCACTCTGGAATAATGTTTTATCTTCATAACAATAACTGTTACATTTGCAAGAAATGTTGTACAAATGAAACTGCCAACTATTCAATTGCTATATGTACACATTTCCTTTATGAGTAAAAAATGCTTTACAAACTAACTTGTCTAAATAGTTACATTATATACCTGTAAAGATAAAATCTGAATTAAAATAATTCAGAGGCTCTATAAATGGCTAACTAGACTTATCTTAAAAAGGATTTTTTAAGGCCTCTAATAGTTCCCTCTATAGTAAGTAACAAAGAGAACTTTTAGGTTTTCATTAATAGCTTGGTAATGCATGGAAACAACTAGCAAATCACTTAGTGGTGTTAAAGAATATAGTGGGAGAAAATATTACAGACAGTTACTATGTTTTAGGAGACTACAGAAAACTTTTCTTCTCAGAAAATGTTGCTTTCTTTGAGTAAGGAAGTAAAAAGCAGGAGTAAGTTAAACATTACAAAGGGAAGCACAAAGCAGTAACGTAAACTATTGTTTTTCCCAAGTTTGTTTCCTTAATAATGTTGTGCCTTTAATTTTTCCTTAGTTGTTCATGTTTTCTTATTTTCAATCTATAGGGAAGTATTTTTTAATCCTTCTCTTCACTAATTTAGTAAATACATATCAAGCAGAGACCAGAGAAATCTAATTAGAGATTTTATGTACTGGCCCTTGGGATCCTGGGTTTCCCATCTGCGGGTTAAACCAACAGTAGAAAGAAACTATTCTGGAGAAAAATTTATCTGTACTAAATGCAGACTTATAAGGGGTCATTGGTTATTCCCTAACCAATACGGTATAACAAATATTTACATAGCTAACATCTACAAGATTCAAAGAACATATAAAAAATAAAGTATATAGGACAAGATGTGGTTATATGCAAATATTACACCATTTTATATAAGAATATTAGTATCCTCAAGAGGGTCATGGAACTTAAATCCCTGTGGGCACTAAGGGACAGTTGTACTAGAATATTCTTTTTTTAATTTTAATTTTTTGTGAACATACTGTACAGAGGGGTTACAATTACATGGGCAAGATAATGAGTACATTTCTTATCAAGCATTGCAGCCTCCTCCTTTGTTTA